TCACTATTACAGGGTGGGGGCAGCTTCTAAAGTATGACATAAAACAGTATAATATGATGTAAGCAATATGTTCCATGGTAGTACAAAGGTCATTCCAAGTCCTGTCCGGACCGTTCTCTTGAAGTGTCAAGTTGCCATCGAAGGCTTCCATCCTCAGCCGGGCTGTTGCAGGGTATACCTCCCTAGCCAGGAGGTGACTGTCCGCGTCGGTGTTCTTAGCAAGGCTGTTGGCCTTGAGCACCACAGGCATGACTGAGTGTAATCAGAGGAAAAATGTCAGCGAAAGAAGGTGAGCCATGGATCTAACCTGTAAACACTAAACAGTCACACCGAACATTCGAAACGGTCCGCAGCAACAACTTCTACCCTAAACCCACCTGAGCTCCATGCCATGCGACCCTCATCCCCCGAGATGGAACTGCACTATACAGAAGGTATACATAGTACACACAAATACACACACACACACACGGATAGATATATATATATATATATACAGATATATACATATATATATATATCCAATTATTGATGGATATGGGTATGGATGTAGAATACTCGTTCTTGCTGCATCCAGGCATTCTTGTTAAGGGTAGGCCGGCTACACTCCGCTGCGGTGATGATCATCATTATCACCACTGCCGCTTAAGGATTGCGGGTTTAGGGTGCCTGTTGCCTCTATACATAAACTCTGAACTCCATGTGAGCCCCTATCCTAAACCCACCAAAGTCGGTAAGATAACCGCCCAATATCTATGAACAAGGCCATTATTCTACACACTTTGGGGGTCCAGAATAGAACCTATATGACCTATATACATATATATATATATATACGTGTGTGTATATATATATATATATATATATATATATATATATATAACCATATCTTTATATGTGTATGTATAGGTATATGTATGTGTATATGTATATATATATATATATATAGAGAGAGAGGCATCTATAGGTATATAGAACCTTATATCGAAGCCTCCGCCGCCCCCAAGCGTCTTCAGGTGTCCCAGGCCTCCGAGACCCTCGAAGCAGAGGGTGGACGCCTTTTTAGGAAGGCCTGGGCTCTCTGACGTCAGGTTTCAAGGGTTCAAGGCTTTAGGAGGTTAGGGTTTAGGGCTTCAGGGTACTATTCGGGTTCTATAAGGGTTCCTTTAATAGGGTTTGAGGGTTTATGGATTTAGGGTTAAGGGTTTCAGGGTTTGAGCGTAGAGGTGCAGTGTTTGGAGATGGAGGGATTTTGTCTATATACAGATGCAGGCACGTAAGGTTGAGGGTGTCTCTGAATCCGAAGTTGTTAGGCCGATGTCCTCTTGGCTTTCGACCTCTATCGTGAAGAGTACTGGCTTCGCGAGGGCGGCGGCATGCGCTCACTGCCGCTTGGCGTTCGCACACTACTAGAGTGGCCTAAAGAATGACCAATACTTTTTTTTTAGGGGGGGGTCCTTATTGTATTTAATTGTAGCATAAGGGGCTCCAAAACCCTATTTTAATTGTTTAGGCTCTTACACGACTTGACCTCGAAAGCATGACAGCTGAATCCTCCACCCTGAATCATTAGGTTTGCGGGGGCTCATAAGGACTTGAGGCCATGGCGCAAACGTGACAGCCTCTAAGCTTTAGGTGTATTTCTCTTTCGGCACAGTCGCAAGGCTTCAGGTGTTGAGAAGTTGCGATTCACGTCCAGGGTTTAGGGAATTGACAGGTTTGTTGGGGTTGCAGCTTGTCGTCTTAAGGTTGGGTAGGAGAGACGGGGACGGGTATAGCATATATTTGCATTCACAGGTTGAATTCTGTTTTGTAAACTACCAGAAGGGCCACAGTTTGAAACGTTCCTCGTCTGGGGAACGTTTCAAAGTGCTGTTGACGAAGCGGTCTACTGGCCTCCAGAAAGCCCTCAAAGAAAGAGAGCTCTTAGGGAACCTTCAACCCTAAAGAACCCTAAGGTTTTTTAAAGGAGAAAAAGGAACCCTAAGCCCTAACCCCCCCTTAACCTTAAACCCGAGGCACTGTGAGCCCTAAGCTAAACCCTCAACGGCAACAGAGAGAGCACTTATGGAACCCTAAACCCTTCAGAACCCTCATCCGGAAGCGAGCCCGACCTTACACAGCAACAGACCCTTAACCCAAACCTTAAACCCTAAACCGCCTAAACCCTTTCTGCACCTTTCTGGGGACAGTGCTGCTCGGCAGGGCAGAACAAACCCTAAACCCTGAACCCCAAACCTCAAACGCTGTAAACCCTCTTCGCAAGGCTCAAGGCAGGTCTTCCTTTGCACACGGACAAACATGCGACCAGCCCCTCGTCCTGCTTTTTGTCCTCCCGGGGTTTAGGGTCTACAGTATATATTATTTTACATAAGGTTTAGGAAAGTTTAATAGTTTGATGAGGATGTTTTTGGGGTTGGGATTTTGGCTTTTGGGGGTTCGGGTTTGGTCTTTAGGATTTAGGTCCCAAGGGTGGTACGGTATAACATGGCCCGAATTATGGCGGAGCATTTCGTTGTAAGAGCTTTGGCTCTTCAGGGTTTCTTGCTTTTCTGGCTGGGGGAGTTCAGTGTTTAGGTTTCGGGGTTCTGGCCGTCTAGGGTGCACGTTGGAGCTTCTGACGTTTACTTCGATTTAAATACCATTCTGGTGGATTTGAAAAGTCTATGCGTGAACCACTCGAAGTTCGTGCTAGGGTTTTTATACAAGTTATGCATCTACACTGATGAAGAAAACCATAACTCCTATGGAGTCAGGATTGTTGCGGTTGTGTGCGTGAGGGATCTGTGCTTGGCGTAGGCTTTCAGGGACCAAGTGCCTCCAAAGGCCCTACTTTTACTATGAAGACAATTGGACTTCCAGCAGGCGCCAAACCACACACCATCCTTGACACAGCCTGATATATGTACATGTCTAATGTGTGTGTATATATATATATATACACATATTATTTCTGTAGTATGTGGATTTACTTACATGCACATTTGTATATTGAAGCTTCAACCGTTCCCGAACAAACTAGAGCTCGGGGGGAATGATGCTATAGTATCATATACAGGGGCTATACGGGGATGTTCTGACCAATTCGTTTATGGCTCCTAAACCCTGAACCCTAAATTCTTAGGTCATGAAGCTGCCGAACGTCGGAAAGCGGAGATCTCACTGATGCTGAGACTTGGGCAGTAAGTAACGGCTATGGCGTTTGCTGTGTCGGAGCTGTTTATTTGTCTATTGCCTGTTCTGTTCGGTTGTGTCCTAGCTTGCTTTGATGCACGTAGGTTTTGCTATACTGTCAGGCTAATGACCTACAGTAAGCTGCACCCCCGAACCTAAACCCAAAAGGAACGTCTGAACAACAAGTCCTGAGCCAGGAGGGAAATCGCGGAGGAGAAGCCTGCAGCCGTGACGCCCACGGCATCGATGGAGCTCACCCTGCGTGGCTTCCTGCAGGCCGTGTTTCCCTTTGCGAAGAAGACACCTGGCTAAAAGTTTCTTTGTTGGAGGTTAAGACTTATTTGGAGTAATTAGGCTCATATTTAGGGTATTAGAGCTGCGTAGCTTCTCGTGAGAGATTCTGCGAGGCTCTAAAACCCTTACCCTGGTTCTCAAGTGAAAGTTGCTTTGACCTTGTCAATCTTCTTATTGCGGCACATGAATGAATAGAAGCACTCAATCGCGTCCATACTTCAGAAGATTGGGCTCACCCTAAGGCTTCAAAGTAGTTCCTTTTTGGGGTTCATATTTAGAATCTTATGAGGTAATCCCAAAAAGGAGCTACTGTGGGGCCTCTGGGTAAAGTTTGAAGCTCGAACCCCAATCTTCACCGGCCTGGGGCACGAGGGCCCGAGCTGCCCTCAAGAGGCCTTGTGGAGACTCGTGTTTTGTTTCAGGCGTATACTAGATCTCGAGTCAGGGTGAAGGCTTAAGGGCTTCGGGCTTGGGTCCGTTATGTCTAAAAGCCTCGAGCTCAGGACGGACATTCGGACGATGCTGCGCTGGATCAAGCACCCGCCGTCTGATGACAAAGTGAAGGCCGGGAAGGCGACCTCGATCAAGCCCGCACTTCGGCTCCAACGCGAAGCCCCCTCTATAGGGCCGCTACAGTATAGGGTTTCTGGGTAAGGGTTGAGGATGTTTAGTTTGAGGCCGAGGGGTGCGGACCTTCAGGTTCAGGTTTAAGGTGTAAGCTTTGTGGGATGTGTGGTTATGCGAGTTTTTTGTAAGCCTTAGAGTCTAAAGTTCTCGGGGCTTCAAGGTTTCAGTCTGTATCGAGTTTAGAGCTTCCGGGTCCATGGAGTGTCGATTTGGAGGTTTCGGGCGTGGGAAGATGGAGCTGGTTGAGGGGCTTGGGTAAAGCCTAGAGAGGCCCCAGAAGACCCGGGAGAGTCCTCACCACCAAAGGGCTGGGCGCTAAATGCTTAACCCCAAACCCCACGGACCCAGAATTAATCTGATCGAGTTGTCATTGCAAATAATCTGAGTGGTCATTGCAAGTCATGGCACCCTGTGCCCAGTCCTAAATGGCATGACTTGCTCATTCTGCAAAGGATCAGGCGTCGCTCTTGCTTGTATTGTGTGTAGACTTCTTGGCTAAATCCTAAACCCCCAAAAGGCTTCAGTCAAGGCGGGGCTACTCTGGGCAAAAGCGACGCTAAACCCCAAACCTTAAAGCCTGCGGAGAGGTGTCCCCAGACCTTCCAAAATCCCTCAATTAAGGAATATACCTTAAATCATATTAGGGATCCTACTATGATTTAAGGTGTATTCCTTAATTAAGGGATTTTGGAAGGTCTGGGTCTTGGGGCCTGGGGATCTGGTATGAGTTTTCAAGGCATTCCGTACGTGAAGCTTGGAGTTGGGTTTCCATCTGTCGGATGTCGGGGAGTTATTGCAGTCATGATAACTAGAAGGGTTTAGTTTCGGGTTTAGGGATCAGGAATAGATCGAAAGTCGTAAGGTTTGGTGGAGCCGGGGCGAAAGGCACTGCAATGGAACGGAGCATGCTCATTGCTATACTCGAAGCCCTGACAATCCCAAAGCCCCTGAACCTTAAACGCGAAGCCCGGCTCAAGGATTTCGGATTGCTGCGGGACCTTATTGACCTCTTCGACGCCATCGACTCGACACGGACGCACTCGGTGCCGGTGGAAGCTGTGGAGCAGTTCCTGTCAGGCCCATGCATGTAAGCATGCTTGAGTAAGTTGTAATACTAGTCCTAAACCCAAAACCTCTATAGACTCTAAACCCTAGGGTTCTTTGTTTTGCTTTCAGCGGTTTCGGCATCTACATTCACTCACTGCCCAATACATCCCAAGAAGCTGTATATGTTCGTGTTTTGACAGATTCAGATGCCTTGGTGGCTTTATTATAGGGGCTCAAGGTGTTTTATCACCGGTCAAGGTCACAGTTGTTTCCAGTTTGAGAACACTGGCAATTATGCCTCAGGAAGTTAAAAGCCGAGCGTTTGACCCAAGCCCAAAGCCTTGGAAACTAGTTAAGCCCTATACATATATATATATATATATATGTATATATATATATATACATATACATATATATATATATATATATATATATATATGCACCTTATATAAAAAAACAACCTAAACGATAAATCCTAAACCCATCAGGTGAGATCATTACCCAGGGCGAGACGGCCCGACTCCGGCAGCGACGGCAAGCGCGGACCGATCTGCGTAGTGTCACCCACGCGGCCTGCTTTGCGCATAACCCCCGGGTGGCCCTGATCCTCAACCGAATGCTGGAGGACAGTGGTTGCAGAGTTTCGCTTTTCCTATAGTCTCCATTTTAGTTCCTTTTGTTGATTAACCAAAATCTTTGTTATAGGGTCCTAACCATAAAATTGGTTAACCACAGACTCAAATCAAAGTACCAAGTAGTGCTTGAAGGACTGCAGTCTCTACGAATTCGGGAGGAGGGACGGTGGGTTGAGCACATGTATGCACCCAAACTCCTGAAAGCTGGGAAGTGTGGCCCTAACGATTTTAGGGCTTACCCATAGGCCCCAAAGTAGTTCCTTTTTGGGATTACCTTATAGGATTCTATATATGAACCCCCGAAAGGAACTAATTTTAACGCTACGCCGCCCGCCTCGGCTCTGTAGCGGCAGGGCGAGGCGGCAGTGGATGTTGTATACAGCATGCTAAGCGGGAGTGTCGGGGAGGGGGGGAGCCGGACAAGGGGGTGGCAAATGAGCGGGACTGCAGGGAGGAGGATTAGGTGGAGGGTACCTGAGGTAACCACCAAGACGCCTGGGCCTGTAACCGGTTAAAGGCCTTCCAGCCATGCCGCCCGGAGCAAGAAAAAACAACAGAGAAAGAGCCTGAAAAGAAAGACAGGCAGTGGATTGACGACGCAAAAGCCAAAGCGGGGGCGAGGAAGACGAAACGAGGGGGGAGAAGAAGTGGGAGCAGGAAAGAGGGAAGAAAAAGGGGGGGAGGGGGGGGAGGGGGGGAGGGGAGGGAGGGGGGAGGGGGGGGGGGTGGAGGAAAAAAAGAGGGGGGAGGAGGCCTGGGAGGGGGCGGGTAGGCCCGCAAATCAAAGAAAATGAGGGGAGGCCGGGCAAGGGGGTGGCAAACGAGCGCAAAAACAGGGTGTCCCCAAACATTTGGACTGCAGGGAGGAGGATTAGGTGGAGGGTACCTGAGGTAACCACCAAAACGCCTGGGCCTGTGGCCTCGGCGGATTTGGGGCTTTTGGGTAGAGGGTAAGCAGGCAGGCTCGCCTTCCTCGCAAATTCAGCCGACGTCGAAGGACCGAGCCGAATGGCAAGTGGCTCTCCCAAGCCACGATCCAAGGGGCAAGAGGCATCGTGGTTGCTCTTTCAATGTCCTGGGTTTTGGGTCGAGGGTTTGGGGTTTTGGGGTAGTGGTTTGAGGTTTTCTTTGCATGCAGCGGTTAATACATGAGTTCTCAATGTCCCTGAAAACCAAATCCTACTGTAATGACCAGTTATGTCCTGAGGAGACCATCGGAAACCCTGAAATAGATCTCGTGTCGGCTTTGGAGAGGTTCCACCGGGATTTATCAGACGTTACGAGTCACTGCGAGACTGTTTGTTTGTCATTTCTCGGCTTTCAAGCTTTACTGCGCCTACCTTGCCGAGTACACTGCATAAGGCCGAAAGCCGGAAGATGATTGTCCTCAAGCATGTCAAGTGAAGTGTACAGCAAAAAAATTCAGAATCACCAGGTGTACGCAGTACATGTCCAGCCTTTCGGACTTCACTGCACGCATTTTGGTGGGTGTTCACACTGTTTTACTGCCGGAAAGTAGCTGTTTGCAAGTCACCCAGAAGATTCGCAAACCTCCAGGCTTACGGCCGGCGGATGGCGGTCTAAGCTTTGAACTCTGAACATTAACCCAAACCTACACGCTGCACCTTCACGGTTCCCCATATTTCTACATGGGAATTTCCGAAAATTCGGGGTACCTTATTTTGGGGTCCTTATGATAAGGATCCTGCTATTCAGGGTTCTATATTAGGGTCCTCCATCTTCGGAAACTCCCACATCCTGAACCCCAGCCATCCCTAAACTCCAGGCATACCATGGCGAGCCATGCGTGGAGAGCGCTGGAGCTCAAGATGGACACACTGGCTGCTACTCTCGATGAAGAGCTCCACGCTTTGGCACATGGCGATGAGCACCTCCTGAGCGAGAGCATTGAGGTGGGTTTCGAATTCAGAGTGCAGACTTGCAGATTCAAACCTCAGAGGTTCGGGTTTCCGGATAAGGTTAAGATTTTAGATTCCATGAAAACTGGTTGAGGAGAAATTTCCGACTGCAGAGACCGTGGCAGGAGTTGTGTGGCTTTGGAGCCGCGCTTCTTGTGCAAGCCGTCTAGTTTTCCTGCGCATTCCAGAATACATGCTCTTGTAAGACTTAGACAGCCCTACATGCTGACACTCCGTGCCCACTGCCAAGATTAAGAAATACCATGCACCGAACACTGTGCTCCCCTCCATACAACTCCCAAATGCTAGGAACTGGAGAACTGCAGGCGGCCTGCAACCCCTGGCATCATGATGACTACGTGGAGCGCGTAGAGACGGAGGAAGGCACCAGGGCTGGATACTCTAACTCCAACCTAAAGGCTCCAGGTTGTGCAAGGTCTTGTGGTCATTGGTGAAGTCTAGCATTCATGGCTGGCTACTTTGCAGAACTCTGATGCAGTACTTCCGATGCTGCGCGACATCCAGCCACATGCACACTGCAAGCACGACAGCAAATGCAGGAGCCAGCAACGTCTCACCTCGCCTTTAGGGGCTTATAAGGTTTGGGGTTGAAACCCCACGACAAACCAATGGCGTGGGAGATTTTAAGTACCTGCAAGAGCTCCGATCAGAAACTTCGTCCCCGCCTACTCTATGCATACGACCGAAGCCGCGAAGCGGAATCAAAGGCAAACAAATCCTACTGTCTACGGGCCTGAATAATGTCAGTGGGTAATGTAATGTAATCATCTCGCCAGCAACAATACAGGTACGATTTTCAGCTTTTCGTATTTCCTTTGGACCGTACAACACTGAAACTTACAATACCCCACAAACCTGTTACATGCCTGAAGGTCCTGTGTCAAGCCCGATACGTTGGCGGCGGCGTTTGCCTACATTCGTTGTAAGCTACACGAACCACACAGGTGTTCGGAGATGATACTAAGCTCTACACCAACATTAGTTACATCCCTTTACAGCCCTTATTAAACTTTAATCTGGTTTCGTAATCCCTAAACCGTCACTAGGCCAAGCCGCTGAAGGGGCTCCAAAGAAAGTGCGGCTCGTGCGCCTCTATTGGCGTCCGGCGCCCGGCTCTTTGAGGGTTCGAAGTCTAGCTTATCAACTTGTGGCAACTGTTGTTTGAATCGGCTACTATATGCACGGTTCTGTAGGGACGCAGCCAAGAATGTACTTAAGCTAGGCTTTATAGGATTTTAGGGTTTGGACGCTTAGTACAGTAAAGCCCTGCTGAGCCCTAGAGCCCGGAGCACACATAAATCCTGAAACCAATCTATAGTCTCCATTGTAGTTCCTTTTTGGGGTTGCCTTATAGGATCCTAAATATATATTTGGTTAAGCCAAAAAAAGGAACTATAATGGAGACTATAGGTATACCTTCGGAGTCCTAAACTTTGAACCCGGGGCTCGAAACTTCAACCCCCCGACACCCGAACCCTCGACTCGACCACCTGAGCCCTAAACCCTAAACCCTAAACCCTAAACCCTAAACCATGAGCTTGGTGGTCAGCTTATGGGTTGGTCCGTTGTTTGCTGGATCCTTGGGGCGAGGCTATAAGGCCTGTGTGTTAGCAAAGTAGGAGCGTGCAGCTCGCACAAGATCGGCATCGCCTCAAGAGCAGGCTTTGCAGGAGCTTGAGGAGCGAGGCGAGGATGCTGTATGAAACGGCAAAGCTGGAGGATGCAGAAACCTTCAGTACAGAGGAGCAGGTACACATGATGCAGGAGCAGGAAGCCCGCGAGCAGGAGGAGCCAGAGGAAGCCCGACTTCGTGAGGAGGCAGGCCAAGCATGCATGGATGGATGGATGGATCGATGGATATGTGTACCTTTGAGCATGTACACATACCTACATCATCACTAAGTGTACATATAGTTGTTTATATATTTATATATAATTATGCAATTATACATATATTGATTGTTATACAGATGTACAAGTTTGCCTGTGTATGTTTATATATGTGTATGTGTGTGTACATATATATACATGTGTATACCACGACAGACAGACAGACAGACGGACAGACAGACAGACACAGAGTAGCCAGGGGTTTCGGAAATACGGGCATCCTAAACCCTGGTGCAGGAGCTCTAACTACCCTGATACCTTTATCTACGTCGTTTGGAGGAAGAGCCATCGGTAAATGATCCTTTCCGAAATGGTGCCTCTTCAATGGATAAAGATTTCCCCCAATAGGACACTTCAGGTTGAGTGCTGAGTCTGAACAATCAGACGCTGTCCAGTTAAGCCCCCAACTGTACGGTAGAATATACCCAGACCTTCTAAAATCCCTTAATTAAGGAATATACCTTAAATCATATTAGGGATCCTACTATGATTTAAAGTATATTCCTTAATTAAGGGATTTTGGAAGGTCTGGGTACTCCGAGACCCTATTCTGCCATCAAAGCCCAAACATTGGTAAAGATGGTTGACGCTATGTGAGAAGTCCTTTTGGGATTCTTAGGCCTCGGGGTGGGGCTTCGGTATCAAGGTTTGGGGTTTGGGATACAATAGTAAAGTTTGCACGGTGGTTTTACGTTTCACCAGCGCGGACGCATATGATCGGCCGCAAGACTTAGAGGCGCAGATTCGGGGTTTGAGACACGTCATCCCGCTCAGGCTACATGATCGGCAGTGTTTGGGTCTCAGTCGGGGTTCGCAAACCTTTGGTTAGTAGGGACTGGAAGAATGGTAGTAATAGTAGCTATACTTGTACCCCATTCCTCCATTCCCTACTAACCAAAGGTAAGTTCGTGGGTTCGGGTCGTGGTTGAGGGTTCCGAGGTTTGGGTGCACTCTAAAGAGATGCTATAGACCGTAAACTCTACAACCCAAGCCATAGCGGAGAGTTTGTGATTGCAAGGGCTTGCTTTGCTTGGGTTGTTCAGTGCAGCTCCCAGATCTAGAGGCCATGAAGTGCATCACCGCCACGACCTACTCTTCAGGGCCGCTGTCAGTTTGCTAGGCTAGGGCCTGCGAAGGTAGCAGAGGTCTTGTTACTTTGGACCCATGCAAGGATCGAGAAGTCTCACACCCTGTACCGAGCTCAGAACCTGCAATCACCTGAAGCCCCGAGCTCAAAGAAGATTGGCCCAAAGTCCAGCTCGCCATGTGAATCTGTGCCGAAGGAAAAAGAGTGATCTGGTAAGTACGGCCACAAGCCCTTGCTTCGAGTCCTGCTTACTCGATCCTTCTTTCCTCCGAGAATTGCCGGGTTTTCTACCATCCCCGACGCCTCAAGCCGGAAGATGTCTCTCCAGACGAAGACGAGCAAGCCGGAAGGAAGCATTCAGAGATGCGAATCTCGGGTTGAGGGTGTTGTGTTCAAGTTGTCAAGTGCATCCTACCCTAAACCCTACCTTAACCCTGAAGAACCTACCTTTTTAAGGACTTATATAAGGAAATCATAATAGGGAACCCAAAAAAGGGTAGGTTCTTCAGGGTTAAGGTAAACTACCCTAAACCCTAATCCCTAAACGCTAAACCCAAGCTCTGAGGCGCCAAGGACTAGGACCGGAACAGAAGAGAAGTCCTAGGCCCTACCCATAGGCCCCAAAGCAGTTCCTTTTTGAGATTACCATATGGGGTACTATATATGAACCCCAAAAAGGAACTACTTTGGGGCCTTAAGGTAGAAGGCGTTAGGCTTCAGTGTTTCGGGTCCATCCTCTCGGTCCCCAAAATCCGCCCACCAAGCCCATAAGCAACTCAACTAAGCCTCAAACCTATAAAGACCCTAACCCAAGCCTTTATAAACTCCTAAACCCTAAACCCAAGCCTTTAAACTCCCAAGGCCATCGTCCAGCAACTGCGGGACGAGACGACGAGGCTGACTTTGAAGGATGGACGGCCTGGGGCCCCCAGTGTCGGTTTAAGTTTAGGGTTAAGGGTTTAGGGCTTTGGGGTTTAGGGTGTGTCACAGTGCCACGGCGCGCCCCCCATGGAGTGGTCGTGGGTCGCGCCGTCTTCGTAACGTGGAACCCACCCACAACCACCCGAAGCAGGACTAGAACGGGTTTTGTGTTCTGCTTCTTCTTATTCGAGTGCTGCACTAGCCGAAAAGACGTTGCAATGTTGCGGAACGTCAAAGGGACATCCGAGTGATGTAGTCACAAAATAGCAGCGACGCCCTCGCTCGTCCTCGCCGGCCGCCAGAGTCGTCCGTCAGCCGTCGTCAGAGTCGTCCGTCAGGGCCAAGAGTGCTGATCATCCAGTCGGCCGCCAGGGTTTTTTCGCCCGGCAGTCCGTGCCAGAATTGTCCAGCTTTGCCGCCAGACTCGCACTCCAAGCTCCTTGCCAGAGTCGGCCACTGTCCCCAAGCTCTTTCTAGGACGTCCCGTGTCTGGGTCCCCGCAGGGTTTAACCCGCTGTCCCCGCCAGGGTCGCTTGGTCAGGGTCGCCGGTCCTTACGCCGTCCTTGCCAGGGTCGTCCGCCGTCCCCGCCACGATCGCCCGCCGTCCCCGCCAGGGTCGTCCGCCGTCCTCCAGAATCGTCTGCCAAGCTGTTTTTGGCCTTTTTAGTTGCTGACAAAGCCAAGTGCCCGCCAGAGTGTCCGCCGTCCCCGTTAGGGCCGTCCCCGCCAGGGTCGTCCGTCTGCCAAACTGTTTTTGGCCTTTTCGTGCCTGTCAAAGTCATCGCCAAGTCCCCACCAGAGTTGTCCGCCGTCCCCGCAGGGTCACCCGCCGTCCCGGCCATCCCTTTCAGAGTCCGCCAGAGTCGTCCGCCGTCCCCGCCAGGGTCGCCCGCCGTCCCCGCCAGGGTCGTCCAGCCGTCCCCGCCAGAGGACTCGACCTCCCCGCCAGGGTCGCTCGTCAAGCTCTTTCTACCAGGTCCCGTCCCCGCCAGGGTTCTCGCGCTGGGAGATAAGGCCCAGACACCGAGACCAACCAGGCCGCAATGCCCACCCAAACCACCACACAGCCCCAGGCTCCAAGGAGGGAGTGAGAGTGCCGACCGGCAGCCGTGCCCAGCCGCGGAGCACCTCGACGACATCACCACGTGCACATCCCACAGCCATCCCCTCCAGAGTCGTCTGCCAAGCTGTTTTTGGCTTTTTCAGTCCCTGTCAGAGTCGCCAAGTCCCCGCCAGAGTCGTCCGCCAGGGTCGTCCGCCGTCCCCTTCCAGAGTCGTCTGCCAAGCTGTTTTTGGCCCTTTTGCTGTCACAGCAGAGTCGTCCGCCGTCCCCGCCAGGGTCGCGCGCCGTCCCCGCCAAAGTCGTCCGTCCACCAAGTTCCCGCCAGGGTCGTCAGCCGTCCCCGCCAGAGTCGCCCGCCATACCCGCCAGGGTCGCTCGTCAAGCTCTTTCTACCAGGTCCCGTCCCCGCCAGGGTTCTCGCGCTGGGAGATAAGACGCCATCCCCTCCAGAGTCGTCTGCCAAGCTGTGTTGGCTTTTTCAGTCCCTGTCAGAGTCGCCAAGTCTTCGCCAGAGTCGTCCGCCAGGGTCGTCCGCCGTCCCCCTCCAGAGTCGTCTGCCAAGCTGTTTTTGGCCCTTTTGCTGTCACAGCAGAGTCGTCCGCCGTCCCCGCCAGGGTTGCCCGCCGTCCCCGCCAGGGTCGCGCGCCAAAAGTCGTCCGTCCACCAAGTCCCCGCCAGGGTCGTCAGCCGTCCCCGCCAGAGTCCCCCGCCATGCCCGCCAGGGTCGCTCGTCAAGCGCTTTCTACCAGGTCCCGTCCCCGCCAGGGTTCTCGCGCTGGGAGATAAGGGTACCCAATTTTACTATTGTGCCCCATGGCTAGCAGTGCCAAATCAGGTCTGGTAGACTCGATCTGCTTGGCCAAGCAAGCAGATCTCGAAGCGGTAGCGTTCAGTGGTACCGGCCGCCGCCGGGCGCGGGCGGCCAATGGTTTAGGGTTTAGGGTTTAGGGCTTTAGGGTTTAGGGTTTAAGGGTTTAAGCGTTTAACCCTTAAGCGTTCGGGGTTAAAGGGGGTAAGGGCTCAGGGTTTACGTGGGGTTTAGGGTTTAGGCAAGCTCTCGCAGAGGCTCCAAAATTCCTTCTAATTAAGGGGTAGACTTTGATTTCTGATAGGAACACGAACTTGATTTTAGGGATCTTCCTTAACTAAGGAATAAGACTTTGCATTCAAACAGGAACGCGAATATGATTTAAGGGATATTCCTGACTTATTAAGGGGTATTGGAGTCTCTAGGCTCTGCTCGTTTGTTTTCTGCTTCAGGACGTGCATGGGGTTCAGGGTGTAAAGGTTTTACCTATAGTTTCCATTGCAGTTCCTTTTGGGGGTTACCTTTTAGGATCCTTAGCATAAAATTGGTTAAACCAAAAAAAGGAACTACAATAGAGACTATAGGTAGGTTGCAAAATCCACAGTGGCTCCTGGACCAGAGCTCCCTCTACAATAACGCAGAACTCCAAACTGGGAGTTTCCGAAAATTAGGGGTACCTTATTTGGGGTCCTCATAATAAGGATCCTATTATTTAGGGTTCTATATTAGGGTCCCCTATTTTCGGAAACTCCAAAATGGGCCGTCGTCATTTCGGGTCCTTGGTTCACTGTTTAAGTCGGTCTGGTCCTTTCTTGGTGTAATGTAGGAACCTGTCAGGGCTCCGTTCATGACTCCTTTTATTTTGGGGCTACAGTCAAAGCCAGAAAGTTGGAATATGATTATCCTAACCCTTCTATGGTAAATTATAAGGTATCCTACCCTGAAACCATATTCCAACTTTCTGGAGTTCCCTTTATAGGCCCAGGGTTTCTAAATCAGGTTCCTACATTAGTTCATGGGCGGGAGAATGAAGCAGACCCCTTGGGAGGCAACACTCGGAGATTCATTCAGCCCATGCCCGAAACGTGGACACCGACACATTTTCCACCTCTTGGATGTGGAGTTCAGAGATTTGATATAGAACGCGATACAATTCAGAACAGGTCTTATTTCGGAGAAAGAGGAACTGCATGAGGACTTATATTCATATACGGGTGTGCTAGTCCCGGCTATCCCAACCCGAAACCCCACAATTGTCAGAGTTTGTTCAGACCGCGATACTCGTCTCGCCGAGGTTGGATCTGTTGGGATTTATGTGCGTCCTTGCTCAGGACCAGCTTCGCTGGAAGTGGGTTTCTCGAAAACATTGGGGAGTTGGGGACTATAGGGTCTAGGATACTGGTACTCGGAATTTGGGGTTTAGGGTATGGGAGTTCGGGGCTAAATCATTGTGGGATTCTTTCCAAAGTTCAAAGTCTTGAACCTGGACCACGTGATCTCACAGATACCCACCTGAAACCAAAAGTGGGCACGCGAATAAGAAACCCGTGTTATCCGCTTGTAGTCCTAGTCCCCGCATTACCATACCTAAACCCTAAACCCTAAACCCCTAAACCCTAAACCCATTAATTACCATACGAACTGTACACAAACACCAGAACTCTCCTCTAAGTATGAAGGCCTCTGTGCCACGAAGATGCCAGAAGCCCCGTTCTAGTCGGCGAAAATCCTGCCTTTAAGGCGTGCTAAAATATTCTCTACCAGGTCATATTCCCTCCAAAGGTGTTCAAGTATGTAGGTTGATAGTCTTTGAACCTTCAACCTGCAATCCCAACAACCTGCCCAGAGGCCTGTCGTAATCCTGGGATGACTGTGTCTTGTGATAATGTCTGTTGTCCTTCTGTTCTGCAGTCTCCCTCACCAAGACTCCTAACGAGCCCGATGCACACGCACCAAACGTCATTGGCATAAACCTACAGGGGGCATCAGAACTCCAATCATATAACCTCAGTTCTATACAGCTCTCGTATGAATCCCTTGCAAACTCTTACCGAACCCTCCAGGGCACACTCAAACCGATCCGTGGATCCTGAGATACAAATCTTACTTCATGTAGCTCCAGGACCAGATCCGGGTGATATTTCCACTCAACCGACCCACGGCAGCTCAATGTTCAGGGCTTCGACTTCAGGATTTAGCCGTCAGGGTCCAGTGAGGGTTTAGGGTTTGAGGGTTTGCAACACTGCAGGGTTGGGTGTAGAGGGTGTAGGTTCAGCTTGAGAGCCAACATAATTGCAGGGTGAGGTTCAGCTGTTTAGCATGGTGCAGATAATGATGGTGGCACAGTTCGACAACTTCTTCAGAATTGCTTGCTTACCATAGGGTTGAGTCGTCGATGGAGTCTTGTCAGTGTCTTCAAAGTTTTTCACGTCGTGGACAAGCTGTTCTAAGGTTGTTGCCCTTGCTGTTCATTCTGAACTTGCTCTTTTGTACGGGATCTGCTGAGTGATGCAGAGTTTGTCGTGCCACCTTGAGTCCATGTGCTAGCCGTGGTCATGGCAATCTCTGGTCACCAGGAGTGGCTTGCACTCTGCTGTACATTACTTCGGAACCAAGGACCGATGCCGTCTGAAGCGCAAATTCGCCGTCTTGCCTATGCTTTCGATTAATATCCTGCCGCTGCCTTGGAAGACTATGTAGACAAGTCGAAATAGCCAGTCCGCACAGAGCAGTATGAAGGATAAGCCTCCGCAGCCAGTAACAGCATTTACCATGTGTGGCAGCAGATACCACAACAGCAGCAGAACTTGCCTCACCAGCACAGTGGGAATGTTCGAAACCCTGAAAGAAAGGCTTAACTTCAAACTACTTCTAATCCCGGAATTTCGTCTTTCCTACAGTATACCGTATGAGCATCACTGCCGGTCGCAGCAGAGAGCACGAACGCTTTGACGAGGCATGCAGTAGTTGGATGACTCGCGAGACATAACATGCCTAGCCCGTAGTAGACTTTCTCACCTGCGTTGCGAAGGTAGGTAGATGCAGGCAAAGACCCTGCGATGGAGACAATTTGGATTTCTGGTCTTGAGTGTGAAGTTTACGGACATGGAGGTCTGAGGTTCGTGCTCTTGAAGAAATGCTGAGCGAGAACTCAGCAGCAAACCCCTAGACCGTCAACCACCACAGCCCTCTGTCCGAAATCCCGAGGCCCTAGGCTTAAACTTTGTGATAACAACTTTCGAATCAGCCGTGAACAGCTTGCCGTCTACAAGCTGGGTCTCTTATGCAGTGTGGTTTGCTCCCTATACATCTCTGAACCCGAGGCCCTTTATTTCAAATGCGATCTCGACAAGGGCGGTCACGGCTACGCCTAAATCCTGCTACGCTCTGTGCGAACATGAACATTCTTTATGTGCGTGGTCGCAGGCCTTACCTACCATACTGCAAAGCCACCTTGCTTGGATTGGAATATACCATACCCGGCAAAATCTCGACCTAGAATCCTTACAGAAAACCGTGGGTTAGGGGGTCCCCTAGGCATTTTACCGCGGATGCCCAGATAGCTGGTTTCCATCGTTTTTTTTGCGTAAGCTGTATTCTGATTATTCAGATTCAGGTATACGGGGACTATAAGGGAAGGAGGTTACTAGTTCTCCGAAATTCCCGCCTCTATATGGTAGTTTCCGAAAATAGGGGTACCTTATTTGGGGTCCTTATAATAGGGATCCCACTATTTAGGCTACTATATTAGGGTTCCCCTATTTTCGGAAACCCCCATATGATTGTTTGGGACATGTTCCTGGTTCAAGGCCAGAGACAGGCTTGTACATAGCTCTCAAATGGAGAGAAACCGAAGTTCTGCGCCGTTCCAGACGTTGGCAAGATGCCGGTCTGTTTCAAAACGCAAGCCGTCGTCTCATTGCTGTCCTTCTCCATGTATATGTATATTTATATATATATATACATATATATATATATATATATATATAGATATGTCTCTCTCTCTCTCTCTCTCTCTGTATCTATCTATCTCTTTCTTCCTCTGTGCGTTTGTGATGGGATTATGGTTTGGGGGATCGAGTTTGAGGTTTAAGAATTTGCGTCGGGGTCCTTCCGACCCATAGAGCAGCCACGTTGCTACAGCTTGTGTGGGCAAGCCGTCTTTCGTTCCCTAAGGGTCCACGTACCCAAATAGTATATACATTGGCCTTAATGTAGTCCCTATATAGGTACATTGGGCCCAAAGTATATGCTATTTGGGTACATGGACCCTCAGGGGTTATGCATGACGCAAGCAAAACATGCGATTAGCAGATTAGCATTATTCATGCTGGAGTCCACGCGTGTCTGTGTACAGGCTATATGTATGTATGTATGTATGTATGTATGTGTTTATATTCTATACCTCTCTCTTCCACGGAAAGCTTCGCTTCGAAGTTCCTTCTGCATGGGATGTATCCCCCGACCCCTACAGCTGAGGGTCTTTCGTGCTAGAGGACTCAGTGATTTGCTCAGACCAGATGTGTTTTGGTAATAGTTTGCGGCTCGGGGTTCAGGGGAGGTGTACTCAGATAAGAGGGGCCTGGGTAATAGTTTGGGGTAAACGGTTGAGGCGGTTGTTCACTCCGCGACGGCTCCCATGTCATGCATTTGGACGCAGCCATGACATCAATCGGCAAGATGCCAAGAGCTACGAAGAGAATTGACACTTCCTGAACCCTAATCCCTAAACTCCTAAACCCTATCAGTTGACGGCAGTAGCTTCAATAGTGGGAACACTCGAAAATCATGCGGCTCATGCCGGGCAACCCCAAATTTCACAAGACCTCTGCTCCCTACCAAAACGAAATCTTTAAAGCTTTCCCCGTAAAGGCCCGAAGCTCAATGCCCTAGGCCCTGGACCTTAAACTCCCTAACGCCCTAACACCTTTAGATGTTGATCTCACAGCTCCTACATGAGACAAAGATTTCTCCGTGGAGCTTGTGCCGCTGAGCCGCACGACACATGTCCGAGCCCCAAGCTGGGTCGGAGTTTCAGACGAAGTTCGTTGGACTGAAGCCTTCCTTCAGTGAGTTTGTTTAGGGTTTAGGGTTTATGTAGGGTTTAGGGTTTGGGGTTTAGGGTTTGTTTAGGGTTTAGGGTTTGGGTGTTCTTCTCAATTCCTACTTCTCAAGTTCGTAAACCTTGGAAGCTCTAGGCCCCAGGCCTCAAAACGCTCACGCTGAGAGGGTTTCGGACTTCCTGGGGCTTGGTGTCAGGTTTGCACGTAAGAAGCGACGGAAACAAAAAGGCATTGCTCTTCATTACACTTTCAAGCCACGAGCCACGAGCTGCCTGTCTTTCAGGTTCAGCCTCTTAGACCCTAACCTCTTAAACCAATGATTCCAAATGCCGCCAAATCCTCTAAGTCGTAAGACCGTAGACCCCTAGGCCCAAGACTCATCACTACTGCAGCCACATAGCCTTGAATGCTGAGCTCCAAAACCCTGCACCCCAAGCGCATCTCTAAACGACAACCCAAAGCTCCAAAACCCGAAACTTCAAGCCCAACTCCTAGACTACCAGACGCCAAACCCCATAAACCCTCAAATTCTGAGCCCTGAAACCTTCAGCCCTAAACCCGACACGATTTGGGCTCCGATCCCGGTTAGGAAGTTAAACAATCTCTGTGGGACGAGAGCTCTGCTTTCGAGTCTTGGCTCGAAATCAACAGAACCTTGCGAGCATCGCAGTAGCCGGTTCGTGCGCGACGATGTCGAAGCCTTGCGTCCTTCATCTTCTCGATGTCGGCCTGGCCCAGGAGTATACAGGCTCGGCGTTTCCGTTTGTTTTGCGTTTCTGTTTGTTTTTGCTGGGGGAAAGAAGGTTGTCAGGGGGCCAGGTTACGGAGTTGCAGGGTCCTCATTTGGATTTAGGGTCTAGGAGTTTCGGGTAGGTTCCAGATTGAACAACTTGGGGTTGACGTTTAGTCAAGCATCAGACTCCCGGTCTCGGCCTTGTGTCTTTGCTGGTGGGTGCGCAGCGTGCTTGCTTGCCGTATCAAAGTGTCGGAGTCAGTAAGTCTTGACCCGAGATGCTATACGCACCATTGAAGCTTCTGAGAACTCGCGATCCCTTCGTGGGCGGTGAGTGGGGGAGTCCGTGCACTTTTTGTCATCATGTGTTCATATTGGAGGCATACTTTCTCAAGTCATTTTACACTGTGCTCCTGTGTCTCTCAGAATGCATGATGTCTGTCAAGGTCAACAAAGTGATGTTAATGATACTACACTGGCACTGTGGAACTCAGGATTCTGGTTAACAAGCTGAGGAGGTTATTGATGATGGTCAATGATGTCGGTGTCATGAATGATGCTCGTCCGGATTACAGACAACCACGAAGATGTCGTTGATCAGTGATGCAGAGAGGCGGTCGACAATAGATCTGATCTTGACGATGCCAGGACGATGTTGGTGTTGGTTTTCGTTGTCTGGTAACTGCGATGACAATGGTGGTGATGGTGATGATGATTGTTTTTGTTCGAGATCGTATGTTGATGTTGGTCATGATGAGGTCACTCGCGATGGTCGTCCGTGTGATGGTACGTCGCCGTGACAAACTATTGCGGACTGCGACTCCGAAATACATCAAGGTATCACCATCGCGGTGGATATGAAGGCGAGATGACGATGCTGACAGCGACAATGGAGATGCCAATGACGATGCTACTGCTAGCGATGCTGTTTTATACAACATGCGTGTGAGAAGGTTGGGGTCACGATGATATTGTGGATGCTTGAACATTAGTATGACACAGGAATCTAACGGGTATCTATCTATCTATCTATCTATCTATGTATCTTTATATACATATATACACCCACATATGCTTATACGTATGTGCATATATATATATACACATACACATATTTGTTCCCGCTACTTTGAGCCTCGCACTTAACGGTGCAACATGCTCCTGGGGCTCCAGTTATCTGAAATGGGGGGAAGTTTGCATTTCACCTGCCAACTTCGGATGACAAAGCCATGCCAAGCCCTCGAACTTGTGAGTTTGTCATGCTGGCCGGATCGGAGGGCGGGGTGAAGGATTCAAAACAAGTAGCCTGGAGACATTGTTAACAGGATCCCGTGGTCTTTTTATGCCATACTCGTATTTTAGTTGGTGGCACCCCTACATTACGGCACAGTGGACCTTGTTTTGCCTGTCCGGAAGCCCAAAAACCCTGAACTTAAGCACTCCACACCCCTAAACCCCCTGTTATCCTAGCAGCAAGGTTTGGGCGAATTTGTGCAACACCGTCGGCTCCAAAGTACCGTGCCACAATAACTAACTACTACTCAAAACCCTATAACCCTATAACCCCACAAGCACAGCTGCCAAGATCAGGCACCTGCCAAGAGTATACGGGCTATGTGAAGAAGCCGGGTTTCTGCCACAACTTGAAGCAGATGTTGGTGTGCAGACAGGGAGACCCGACGCGCAAGGGGTGTAATTAGAGGTTTTGGCTTTAGGGCGTCGTATTTAAGTATGTTGACCCTATACCCTGCAGCCTGAACACAAAGCAAACCTGTCTTGTGATCCCTGGATTCACTCATCATCTTGGCTCCGTATACTGGGTGGATAACCGCTGCAGCCCTCTCTCTGTTCCGCTTCCCTAAAAATTTAGACATCCGTGTAGAACTGACCTGTTGGCCTATGATATTATGCTTGGTGTAGGAGCACTGATTAGAGTCAGAACGTGGACAGAGAAAAGCCGACATGGACTGCGCACCCACTCATGCACTCAGAAAGCAGGCCCTAGTCGTCATTCTGAATCTATTCGTCAACGCAGTTGCTGCACAATCTTAGAACTGAAGAAGGACTGAAATTGACATACGCGGAGTAGGGTCTGCAATCCGACAAGCCCTGAAACCCCAAAGCCCAAATTTAGGCCCTGATTCCCATAATCTTAGAGCGCCAGTAGTACCACAAGCCGTACATAGTGGATCGGCTGCATCGAGTTTACGGTTTCGGGCTTTCGCAACCAGGCAACCGGCTTCAAGCGTACCGATGTCGACCCAGCCTCTCTCTCTCTCTCTCTCTCTCTCTCTCTGTTTCTCTCTCTTAGCATCTATATATGCATACAGGTATACATCATCTGTACATGCAAACTTGTGTGTATATATATATATATATATATACACGGTTCGGGGGCCGAACTCGACCACTGCGTTTTGCGCAGTTCAGGTCCGCCTCCTCCACGACATCACTATCAACTCTGGCGCTTAGGGGCGTTGTCGTAATTCCAGCCCTAAGAAACACCAGCCCCTTTCCTTTAACAAACTTATAAAACCTAATCCAAAAAAACGAAACCAAAAAAAACAAAACCAAAAAAACAAAAAAAATCAAAGAACACATTATTTCAGTGCTCTTCCAGAATAACAGTAGAAACATACACAAATGGTAGAGTTCTGAAAGAATGTTTTTTTGTTTTTTTTGTTTTTTTTTATTTTTTTGGTTTTGGAGGTTTTGGTTTTTTAGGTTCTGTGGCTTTGAGACACATTGGCTACGTGACAGACAGTTCAATGAATCGCTGCGCGTTGCAAAAGAAGCCGATGCGTGTCAGTCGTGTGCTGCATCACATATATCGCTGATGCATCACTGGTCTCACTCATGCCGTATACAGTTTGTGATTCGCGGTGTTCCGTACTCAAGCCTAGTATAGCCTAGTTCTATTGTCCGGTGACTCATATCTGCACAGCAGTCGCGATTCATGACAAGCTTCCGGTGGCTTCCCCAATACTTATTAAACTATCTTGGTTGGAAAGGACTGTAGTGATACAAAATGAAACTAACGTGCAACCTCTCACCAACTGAACTCGTATCATTCCAACCACTATATTAAGTAATCTCCTTAGTCTTGTACTCTACTAGGCTTAAACATTAGAAACCACTGAGATGTGATGATGTAAGCCTTCACATAACATCACTAGAACACACATAAAAAAACTTAAACAACTTGATTTGTATTAACCTCTACACACAGCTAACCTAGACCATTCATGCCAATGCCACTACCTCACTACCTATAGCTGTTCATCTAGTGTTAGTAAGTCATTTTTACACTGCACAAGACAATACATATAATAGTCCTAATGGGGTAGCATTGATTGTACTTAATGGTAAGACATAATGAAAAAGTGCAACAACATAATAAGAGTCATGAACATCTATATCAATAGCAGCACTAATTACGAAGTATAATACCGGTTGAACCACCTATTGTAAACAGACTATATGAAAGATATACTAAAACAGTTAACATTAGTTGTGAAATAGTATCAGTAGACATGCATTACTTGTCCAGGGATGTAGGATACCAACTACATGATCGTAACGAACAAGTTGGTAATGATAATATAACCATTGTATTAACCTGTAAAGTTAGCTCTTGTATCACTGTTGCATACTAGTTGTAAACATATGATGTGCCCAAACTAATTTATCCTAATAGACAAAGACAGCTCATAGCCTCATAGCTCAGGTTATCCGGTTATAGACAAGTTAACCAAAGACACTAAACATGCAATAAGCCAGTTATTGTTAAACTATTGATTATCGAATGCTGGAAGGGTAGACTTCTGGATTCCCACAGAACTTCCCACAGAACTAAATCAAACATTGATAGAACATAGCATCACCTCCAAATATGAACCAAATGCTATTGTATTAAGTGCAGATCTGTTAATAACCTTATATTAGTGAAGCATCGCACCCGTTAAGATGGGTAGAACTATTAATAAGATAGATGATGTAGTCCTAACTGATCTAGTTATATGTTGGTTATGTAGCTTAACATCAACTTAATGATTGCACAGTGTGACAAGTAATACAGAAATTATATAGATGTTAATGTTGATGACAGAGCTTATATAGTTAAACTATAGATAATAAGATTGATACTGCGCACATACACACACACACAATTTTCAGCATATTCCTAAAATATGCAAAAAAACGCAGCGGTCGACTTCGACCCCGTAACCTATATACACATATATATGTGTACGTATGTATGTATATATCTGTGTATGTGTTTATGTATGTCTGCATGCATGAACGTATGCATGTAGGTGTGTATGTATATGTCTGTATATGCATGTACGAAGATTAGTTGAGCAACGTTTATTGTCTGTTTGTCTGTCTGTCCGTCCGCCCGTCCGTCCGTCCGTCTGTCTGTCTGTCTGCTTTTTTGTTGTCATCTTTCGCCCTATCTGCCTATCTGTCTATTTAGAGATTTATCTGTCTATCGCCCTATCTGTTTGTCTACCTGTCTAGAAACCTTCTTTCTATCAGTCTATCCACTATCTTACCTATCTTTCCCCATTTTTCTGTCTCATTATTGTACCTGCCTGACCTGCTTGAACTATGTGGACTATGTGATTTCTGTGGTCTGGACTGTCTGACATATTTGCCTTTTCATCTGTCTGATCTATCGAATGTATCTGATCTGTCTGGTTTGTCTCATCTATCTAACGTCTCTGTTTGTCTGTCTTTCTATCTGAATAACTATGCACCTTACCATTTACATGATCATATACACAGTTGTGCACATTTTCTGTAAAACGTGCATATATCAGTAACCCCCCCCATCTCTGCACTATCAAAGGCATTGCGCGATGCTCTTATGCATGAGGTGACTACGGCACTGCCTTCAGAGAGTGGGGCGTGCTCCAGCTCTATGTTGCCGTGATCGTTGCCATCATCGTGGCAGTCGTCGATGTGATCGGTGGGTACGTCAGAAACTTAGTTGAGAGCGATCACGGTGTCGTTCAAGCGGATGCATGATTTTAGTGCTTGGGGTGTGAAGGAAAAGGCTTTGTTGTTGCATCCTCGCGACTCGTGGCACGAAGCCAGACCCGGCATGATGACATAGCTTGGGTACGGCCCCCACTCAGTAATAGTTGAATAATACTCATAATATAGATATAGTAGGACCTTAATAATAGCCCTACTAAATAGACTCTTACTGTATGGGGGCCGTACCTAAGACATAGCCCAAATCGCTTTACGGCGCTGTGATCAAGGAATGAGAACAGGGAGAGACGCGATCAATGAAACGCTTACTTGGTGTCAGAAACGTGTTGTTGTCTTCGTTGGCACGCTTTCTTCCGGTGCCGGACGATTAGTGTCGTGTTCATAGCAGCTACGAACAACGAAAGACTAAGGTCCAAGGTCATTGTTACTGCTGCACTTGCTGCTGGTACAGTGTCACTCCTTTTCACTATGCTCCTCTCACCCTCGCTGTACCGTTTCTGGTGCTCTGAACCCCACGTAGTCTGAAAGGCGCAATTCCTGTGGAGGCGGCCTAAGAAGCAGACTTCGCCCAGAAGTGAAGGAGCCGTCTAACAAAACCTGTAACAAAAGCACAGTGGCTAGGTTCGGAGGCTTGCATGTGGTTCGAGATGTTCGGGCATTGGAACTTCGGATCGAAATACACCCGACCGAGGTTGAGTTTGCGGGTGTAACTCGAATGTAATTCTGTTTCCCTTCCCCGCCCCCCCCCCCGGGTCCACCTGCTTGTGCACCCAGGTCAACGTCGTGAACGTTACGGTCAACCTGATTTTGCAGATCTGCGCAGTATCTCGGATTCATCCAGCAGAATACTTGAATCCCATAGCGCTTAATCCTGCTACCCTAAGGCTCGTTCTCAATTTGTTTTTCCTTTTTCTCGTTTACCTGATGCATCGTGATTGTCATCAATTGGCTAGTACGCTAGAAAGATGTCATATCATATTGAACTATCGTGTGCATCCTCCTCTTCATGTGGTTACTTGTCAATATTAGGGTCACTTTTTGGGTCCATTATATTAGCGGGACCTCATATTTAGGGCACCCAAAAAGGGACCATATTTTTGACAACCACCTATGTTCAATATCTTCATGGTAATATTCCGCATCGTGACCCTCCTCCGACTCTTCCGGCTCCTCCTCATCATCCTTCTTCTTCTTCCCTTTCCGACCCCTATGCTGATCTGTCGTCATGCTCACTGCCATCGCTCTTTCACTCTGTTTTCAGGCGTGTGACGAAACTTTGGCACCCCTGACCCCGCGGCCTCTATGCAAACTCTATCCATCCCCTCAGCCGCATCCAATGTGTAAGGCATATCTCTTCGCCCACCTTGGATGGTTCGGCGTGGTCAAGAAGGAAGCCTTTGCTTGCTCCATGAGGGAGTTTCCAAACATAGGGGACTCTAAGACAGTACCCCAAAGAGTAGGATCCTCACCATAAAGACCCCCAAGTAAGGTACCCCTAATTTTCGGAAACTCTAAACCCCAATAGAGGCCTTTAAAGGAACCCTTGTGGTACCTCATAGTACCCCTTTTAAAGGAACCCTGTGTTATCATTGGTAATTATGAAGGCCTCTATTTTAAAAAGGCCTGCTGAAGCGAGCCATGGAAGCCGCAAAGAATCCCCAAGATTGGTCCAGTAGCCTGCTGTATTCACAGAGGCTTTAAGGGGGGATCTTGTGGATTGTTTCAGTATTATTCAGACCCCCTTGGGATTGCATGAGGTTGATAACCTGTTGGTTGTTTCATCATTTTTCAGACCCCGCTGGGATTGTGCAGTAGAAGCCAGAGAGTTGGAATATCATTCTCCTAACCCCTTTAAGGTAAATTATAGGGTATCCTACCATTAATCCATATTCCAACTTTCTGGAGTTCCCTGTATGAGTCTGAGGCTGATATCCAGCGTGCGGCGTAGAGTGGAGCCGCCCGGGGCGTTGTATGCATGCTCGAAGCCGAAGCACCACCTGTATAGTCTCCATTGTAGTTCCCTTTTTTTGGTTAACCAAAATCTCTATTATAGGGTCCTAAACATAAATTTGGATAACCAAAAACAGGAACTACAATGGAGACTATAGGCAGTACTCGACTTCGCGTTTACAACTAAAAGCTGAAGTTTGATTTTTATTGTCGGGCTTGGGAGGAGCCTTGGTTTCAGTTTGCCCCGATACCCCCAGTTTGTAAGAACTTTACAGTAGAAGCCCAAAAATTGGAAACTCCTTACTAGTAGTACATAAGTAATCCCAGCACTCGGTCCTTTATCTGGTTTCCAACTTTTTGGGGCTTACTATACCTCTCTGAATGTGTGCTTTGCAGTTTGTGAGGACGGCTGCTTCTGCTGCATCATCGCCTGCTGTGACGCCAGGCTTGTCTTAAGTCGCAGGCTCGCAGACGTCTATGTCACCGGAGTTTCATGCGCCTATGTATGCATGTACCTGTATGTGACAGAAGGGTATCTCTAACATATTTTTATACAGTATACATGAATACAATTAACAAACTGAGTATTCAAATACAAGTATAATGTAAAGACACCGATCTGCATATCGACGTGTGTGTGTGTATGTGTAAATATATATATATATATATATACATACATACATACATACATACATACACATATGTTGTTGTTGCTTATTCATGTGTTGTATACGTATACGGTAAACAGATGTAGGTTGCCAAGGATTTCTGGCAATAGTTGAGGCAATGGGTCAGAAGATAAGAACCAAGGAATGTCCGCCGATCCTCCTGTTCCTTGGAAGATTTCGACGGAAACCTGAGGCGTTTGAGAGCTCTCGTGTTTCCTGCAATGTGTGTTTCTGGCAGCATGTTGGAGAGCACCTACATTGGATCAACCAGGGTGTGTGCAAGTCGCACACTTCCGGCCCTGTCCTCGTTCCGTCCCGTACAACAGGACAACAATAACAACATCCAGACTTTAACAATTAGCACTCACGTGGGTGACACGAGTAGTCCTGTCCGTCGTGCTGGCAACACGAGTTATGGTTGTCACATGAGGCACGCACCACGGAGTCCACAACAGCCATCAACGACACAGTAAAGGTGACGACTTCAGGCTTCATCACTGATCGCATGACGCTTGTTGTTTCAGAAAAGCCGTGTTGTTGGCCTATTCGTGGTGCTGAGACGTTGTGTTCGGTATGTGCGATACAATATTGGTTATTCAGACTCCATGCCGTTTGCATAGATTCCGAGTCTTGCCGTGATCGCTCTACAGGAAGCTTTGTTGGCTTTTCGTTGCTTGTTGCCACAAACCATAAACCCTGACACTTCGTCACCCTTTTCACATATCCTGCTCGTGGCCTTGCTTCGTTTGTTGTCTTTGCTTCGATAGGAATGGGGCAGTGTTTTGGTAGTCCCAGTAGAATATATCGCGTTTATTAATTAGCACAGGAAGTTACGCTGGGCTCCTGTGTCCCACGTTCAACAACCCCTAAACTCTAAACGCCAATGGCTTAGGTTCTGGGGTATCTTGATGATTCTCTGGGGCATCGGCTCTTTCAGCGTGGCCTTCCAGGCAGGGTGGTTGTTCGGTTGAGGATCTTTGGACAGCTGCAACGTCGGATGGTTATTTATTCTTCATCATTTTGTAAAGCACTTTTATAGCTCTAGTATGAAATCACTTAACGATCTATTCTTTGGAGCGGGCGTTGTAGACGTCGTCGTAGTTCTAGTGTGTAGTAGCAGTACTAGTAGTAGTAGTAGTAGTAGTAGTAGTAGTAGTAGTAGTAGTAGTAGTAGTAGTAGTAGTAGTCGTAGTAGTAGTAGTAGTAGTAGTAGTAGTAGCAGTAGCAGTAGCAGTAGTAGTAGTAGTAGTAGTAGTAGTAGTAGTAGTAGTAGTAGTAGTAGTAGTAGTAGTAGTAGTGGTAGTAGTAGTAGTAGTAGTAGTAGTAGTAGTAGTAGTAGTAGTAGTAGTAGTAGTAGTAGTAGTAGTAGTAGTAGTAGTAGTAGTAGTAGTAGTAGTAGTAGTAGTAGTAGTAGTAGTAGTAGTAGTAGTAGTAGTAGTAGTAGTAGTAGTAGTAGTAGTAGTAGTAGTAGTAGTAGTAGTAGTAGTAGTAGTAGTAGTAGTAGTAGTAGTAGTAGTAGTAGTAGTAGTAGTAGTTAGTAGTAGTAGTAGTAGTAGTAGTAGTAGTAGTAGTAGTAGTAGTAGTAGTAGTAGCGGTAGTGGTAGTGGTAGTGGTAGTAGTAGTAGTAGTCGTAGTAGTCGTAGTAGTCGTAGTAGTCGTCGTCCTCGTAGTCGTAGTAGTCGTAGTACTCGTAGTAGTAGTAGTAGTAGTAGTAGTAGTAGTCGTAGTCGTAGTCGTAGTCGTAGTCGTAGTCGTAGTCGTAGTCGTAGTCGTAGTAGTAGTCGTCGTCGTCGTCGTAGCAGTCGTAGTAGTCGTAGTAGTCGTAGTAGTCGTAGTAGTCGTAGTAGTCGTAGTAGTCGCAGTCGTAGCAATAGCTGCAGCAGGAGCAGCAGCAAGTAGCGGTAGCAGTTGCAGCAGCTGTAGCTGTAAATGTAGCAGGAGCAGCAGCAGCAGCAGCAGCAGCAGCAGCAGCAGCAGCAGTAGCAGTAGCAGGAGCAGGAGCAGGAGCAGGAGCAGCAGCACAAGCAGCAGCAGGGGCAGCAGCAGTAGTAGTAATAGCAGCAGCAGCAGCAACAGTGGTAGTAGCATCACAGCAGCAACTCAAGTACTGGCAAACATTCGCGCTATTACAGCTACTGCAATTCTGACGACTAGCGGTCGCCATCGTGACAGACATGATGTGTATACTTACCAGAGTTTCTCTTGTGTTTGATCCAAGTAGTGCTCGAAGATCCTGCTGTGCAGAATTGAGCCATCGGCCACATGATGCTAGATCTGGTCGATCTTGCCGTTAGAGGTCAGAGCAGACGTTGTGCATTCGCTGGCTGTCATGGTACAACGTAACATGCGGGCAAGATGCCGGATGGTGGGTATCTTTGAAGGCCTTGTCTTTAGCCTGCATTCAGGGCAATTGGTTCAAAGGTAGTTAGTTTGATTGCCTTCCTGCTGAGGGCATCGGCGAATGTGCGATCTGCATCATCAAGCCGATTGTTCAGTTCATCCATGCCGTCATCCTGTTCTACATGGGATGGTGCTGCGTGATGCCAGGCAGCACCATCATGTGCTTCAAGATTTTGAGCCACCAGAGAATTATCTCGCCTAGCTTCCAGGGTTCGGAACAGATAGGGTGCTGTACCGGCGTGTAGCTCCAACTTTTCGGGTGCATAGCCGCATAGCATGTTAGGCCTCCGGTGCTCCACCTAGACATCTAGCCCTTGACTGTCCAACCCTAACATGAGCCGGGCAATTACGCCGGACTTATGCGTGTCAATAGCATGCAAGATGTCAGAGTTACGCGATGTCCAATCAGGTGGTGGAGAAGCTGCAGAGGTTGTCACACGCAGAAGCGAGACATGTACGTGAGCGAGCAACCGAAATACTCAGACTTCACAATTTAGTTGAGACTCAAAAAGTACCCGAAGGAAGCACACTAATTTCAGTAGCAACTTCCTCCAAGGAACCTTTGGATCCAGCATGGGAAGGAGATTCTTCCCCCGGAGGTCGATGTGACGGGCCCGCAAGGGGAACAGATCGGCGCAGCAAAGGCTTGAGCAGGTCAGTTCTGTAAAGTCCTTCGGGGTCAGACCCTCGGTTCACCGGAAACCCTAAACCCTTTAGGGTTTAGGGTTTAGGGTTGTGGAGTAGTGAGCACCGCCTTAGACTAACCGTAAGTTGATTTGGGACCCCGAAGAAGTAGCTTGGCCTGCTCAACATGAGAGACTTTTGAGGAGCCAAGCGTTTAAGTTGCCTACAGACTGTCCCATTGGGTCCGAGGTACTAAGATTTCTGACCCCCACAAATCCTGACAAGAAAAGTTGGTCGAGCTTGCTTGAAACCTAAAAAAGCCGCAGATTTCTCACACGAATCGGGATACTGGTGGAGGGATTCTGCGGCTGATGCGGCTTCATGGGTCTTGGCCGGCTCTAGTTCCAGGTTTGAGTTTATTGGGTGTCCTAAGCTCAATTTTCCAGACCAATAAACCCTAAACTATCTGAACCATGTTCGGGCGTGTAAGGGATCTCATATAGCAGTGCTATGCGGGGTTATTACATAGGGTTATCGTGGTTCTACATTCGTGTTCCCATATGTTCCGACACGGCCATGCAGGAGCCTTATAGGTAAATAGAGAAGAAGCAGTTCTCACACGGAAGCCTGATATGGTGTCTACAGGTTTTTACAGGTTTCAACGCAGGGGCCTTCAACAATCAGAGTAGGTGTTGTAGGGAGGGTGTATGAGTGTATGATCGTATATCTTTCCTTACAGCCAGGGTACTGCAGGGGGTATTTTTCCTGATCATTCGGAGCTCTTGTTTAAGGCGATGCCATGTGCCAGCAGGGTCGGATATTGAGGGCTGCAGCTGCTGGAGGGAGTCGATCCAGAGATCGGGGATTAGGGTTTAGGGTTTTGGGTGGTTTACTAGGTAGGCCGCTGGGATATTTTACATTGTCCCTTATTGGGCTGAATAGGACCCTATCTACGAAGATTTTTCAGAGGCTTTAAAGGGCCTACCCAGTTTAGGGTTTAGGAAGGTTTAGGGTTTAGGGTGTCATGCGAAGTGGGGGACCTTGAAGCCTCATGGTTCGGCTCTAAAGGATACTACAAACCAAGGCTTCTGCAAGGTTTTCGGTTGGGATCTGCAGGGTGTCGGCTTCGGCACGGAGGGTTAGAGCTGTATCCTACATGTTGTAGCACTTGGACCCTGTGGGAATTCTGGCCCGTCCACTCAAGTGGCTGGCCTGTTTTTGTGGAGGGATGGGCCTCTATACAGCTTGATGCGAAGGGGGTCTGGGATCACGGACTTCTCACGATATGCATGGCAGCTAAGAGCTTCATCCCCGCTCGGAGCCCCTGAACCCGAAACCCGGAGACCTTAAAAAACAAACAAGGGGGGTCCAAATATTCCCAACAGTATTGCTGAGGGGTCCTTCATGTATTGATGCCATGGCATGTCCCTAAAGCCTTTTCCAATTATTGAGGCCCTTATATTGCTGTTTAGCTGTCGGCCAGCTGGCCGGCCGAGCTCGCCGAGTACCGCACCGCCATCTTGATATTGAAAGGATTCCCTCGTAGTTTCAGCTTTACCATCATTTACTGGCCACCTAATTATCCAAACATCCACAGCAGAATTAGAAGTTGCAAAAAGTGCAAAACCCTAAGTTCTGACACACCACGCAAGCCCCAAGTCCCCTCACTGGGTATGGTGTTCTTCTCATCCATCAAGCATGGTCGATCTCGAGCAGGAAGAAGCAAATGATACATCCCCTGATCGAGACGTTGTGTAATGGCTTGAGATTTTCTCTCCACGCCACCGGTTTGACTCGAAGCGGCGCTAGTACCCAGGGTCGCCCTGTCTTGTCGCAGGTTCACTAGTAGAGTCCTTCGTTTTACATTTTGCAGATTTCAGATTTGGGATTTTTCGTGGTGAGTTGTACCCCCGACCTGTAAACAACCACTCTTGGAGGGCCTGTACCTGAAGAATACTAGTTACTAGTCTGATCCCCACGATAGGAAGTGGTGAATAACCAGGGCTCTGCGGTAGCCCCTACCACAGCCCCCATACCGTAAATTCTCATGCTTTAGCTGCAACATCCTTTATCCCAAACTTCTGCGTGTCTGAAGCCCACACCCCATTCCTGACGCCTGCTGCAATTCTGCAGAGACTCCGTCTCGCGGTTGCGGAGTAAGGCCATTTGTGAACCCCAACCGGGGTTCGAGTGTCCAAAGAAGACGGGTCCCTCTCTCAACGTTTGGGTTTTAGGGGGTTTAAACCCCGTAAACCCTAAACCCTAAACCTTAAACCCTAAACCCTAAATCCTATGGCAAGTTCAGCCGTTGTTGGGCCCGAAAACCCTGTTCGAATTATTCAGGCTCCTATATTAATCCACTGTGAGATGTATATAGTTCCCAATCCGCGATCAACCAAACTTGGCTCAAGCACACCAGGTCCTTGCCCGGTGCTCTAATGCAAAACTCATTCCTCCATAGCACTTCTAAGCTCAGATTTCCTGCAGATGGGTAGCCGCTCATGTCTCCTGTCCTTAGCTTTGGTTAGTAGGGAATGGAGGAATGGGGTACAATTATAACTACTATTACTACCATTCTTCAATTCCCTACTAACCAAAGGTCAGTGGAAGAGCCCCAGGAGCTGTAAGTTACATCAGCTCAGTTCGGGTCTTGAGGTCGTTGGGCTCAGGGGTCGAGGACCCTACCTATAGTCTCCATTGTAGTTCCTTTTTTGGTTATCAAATTTTATGGTTGGGACCCTATAATAGAGATTTTGGTTAACCAAAAAAGGAACTACAATGGAGACTATAGGTATCTCCGGCAAACCGGCTGTTGATCATCGGGGGTCTTGTCAAGGGTCCTTCTTGCGAATCACTCTCAGCCTCGCATTGCGAAGCAAGTAAGTGAAAGAGGGGACCCGGACTATCAGACGAAATCAAGCGCAGCACAAGGTTGCGCGCGACTTCGTGGCAGGGGTGATGTGAGTAGACCATGCAGCCTATCGGGACAAGACCTGGGGCAAAAAGACGCCAGGCTCCATTTTCAGGGGTTAGTTCAGGGGGTTATGGCATTGCAGGAAGCCCAGCAGGCATTAAGCACAGAGGTTTGGAGAGGTGAGCTGTCCTTGCGACTCGGACTCAACGAGCTTTCAACGCACTGGCAGGAGCCTCAATCGCTGCAGTCCCGGCATCAATGCCAGCGGTTTGTCGTGCTCACCTCCAGTAGGGTAGTGGTCAAAATTAGGGTCCTTTGTTGGGTACCCTAAATATGAGGTGCCGTATTGTAATAAGGACCCCAAAAGGGACCCTAATTTTGACAACCATCCAGTAAGTATCGAATGCCAGTGCCGTAAGTGTTTTCTTCAGACATGTTGTGGGCTTAACAGGTGCATTTTGATGCCTCCTGTTAAGGTTAACCCTCAGAGAAGTAAAGACCACGGAAGAGTGGACCATACCAATGTTGCACTTCTCCCGCACACACCGCTATACCCAAGCCACATGCCAGGATTTGAACTGAACACAAGCCTCCATGCAAGAATGCCAAGTTCGAAGCCGAGATCCCTAAGCAAAAACGCTATACCCAGAACCCTGACCTGCTCTAGAACTGAACCCTAAAACTCGACCCAGAAGGTTTTTCAGCGAGGGGTTGGACATGGTATGAATAGAAGCCAGGAGGTCACCCTTTCAATACTGCACGATCCTTTAGAGTTTATGGTTAAGGCTGTGTTTGGGTTTCAGGGCCCCGCCGAAGTTCTCGAAAGATCCCGAAAGCATCGTCTGCGAAAGCCCGAGTCCGGAGGGTCCGTGAATCCGACGAGGCCTTATCATAGCCCTTAGAAGCCTTTTCGACCCTTTAGCATCTGCACGAAACCCTACGAAACTCTAAGCCCAGCTTGAACGTGATAAACTGTAATGTAGGGGCCTTAATCAATAGACTAGGGTTTTAGGGTTCTTTATTCTTTTAATTACAGTATACTGTGCCCACAAACCCTCTTCGAATTCTTAAGGCCCCTACATTGCCATACAGCCAGGGCCTCGCCTGCGCTTTCACGCAGCCCGGGTCTAAGCGCAGGAAGGGAGGGGGCTGCCGAATTCGGGGATTCAGGATTCAGGGGGGGGGTGTCAGGTGTGGACTTAATCAGGTTTTATGGAGTTGAACTTGAAGATTTGGGTTGGGCGTTTCGGGTTTGGTATCCAGGGTGTTGAGTTTGGCATTATTGTAGGGTTTGGGCGCCCGAAGCGCCGGTTTCAGGATCTATATTCATACTACATTCATTGGGTTCGTCATAGTCTTCAGGCCTCAGGCTCATACATAAACCCCGGGGCACCCTGAACCTTTGCGGAGTTTGAGCCTCTAAGCTCCAGAGCCCCTAAAGCCTGATGAGGCCTAGCCACAAGCAGATGCCACACCTCGCAAGCCCCATTAGGGTTTAGGGTTTAGGGTTTAGTACTACACCTACCTCCCATAAGCCATAAGCCTTATCCCTGTACCCTCTCACGAGACCCATGAACCCCTCCCCAACCACCAGCTTTTAAGGCCTGCCTCCTCTAGCAGGCTGCCCAGCCGCAGTTCATTGCTTCTGTGTGTCCTGGAGAGTTTGAAACTCGATGCTGTGGATTCACAACAGCCCTCAAGCCCGAAGCCCTGAAACCCCGAAACCAATCCTGAAATTTCCAGCTGAAACCCTTCTTTGAATCATTTGTCATTTTGGGGTCTCGGTTCTTGTTTTCTTGATAAGGGCTTCCGGTAACATCCTAGGAAAGCACCTAGCCTGAAGGTTGCCAGAGCTTTTGGGCTTTGGGATTTGAAGGTTTCGGAGTTTGGGAGGTTTTAAAGGGTGCTGTAGTGTTTAGGATGCTTTAGGATGGGCTTCAGGGGCTCATGGCTTAACGTCGACGGGAAGTGGGAAGAGCCAGCAGAGCTGAGGTTATCATGTGGCTCGGATGCATTGCGCTTCGGGCATGGGACTTCGAAGCAGGAGCCAGGAGTGAGTGAGACCTGGGACTACTAAGGCACTAAGGTTTACAGTTATCAGTTCGGAAGGTT